GTTATTATCATTTCGAGAATATCTATCAACATTTTCTACTGACCTTTTTGAGACCCAGAAAATGAACTTTAACTTCTACCTCCCTGGTTATGAACAGTGGTTTAAAGTATGTGTTCCTGATCGGAACTACGGCGTCGTCTTCATCTTCATCTTCCTTGATGCATTGGGGCCTTACCAGCATGTCTTCCTGATTCAATTCTACTTTTGTTTTACTCAGTGGAAATTTAATAAAATCTTCCGATTCATCACACAGTCCCCATTCTGTAGATAGAGTAGGAAAAGAATAGCGGCCGTTTAGTACTGAACAGCATCTGACCTACTTTGATATTGAGCTTGTTAAAAATTGTTGCAGCAGGGGTTGATTGTATGGGGTAACTTACGCAGGGAATGAGGGATTGCGATTGTCACTCCAGCCACAAGTTAAGGGTTGAGTGCAGATAGTTTTCACTGATATTAGAGGATTAAAAGTTTTTTTTTGTACCCACGCCTAAGGAAGAACATTTTCTTATATCGCTGTTGTTCACCTTAGGTTTTATTCAGCGTATGGGCGTGGCCTCGAGGATCAATTGCACCCTCAGCGAATAGGGAAACTTATCTTAAAAATAAAGAAATAAAATCGTGGTAATTTTTAGGCTATCCATGATTGTCTTTAAAATTTTCATTACCTTTTAAGGTTTTTTATTTTATGTACGGTCATTTAACGAATACCTCGGGCCCTAATAGATCGGAAAGTATTAGCGGACGTATAAGCCTCGCGTCGCCCACCTAACATCGTAGCTCTTTCGGTCTGCCAATTATCAAGGAAAACCATGATCATCGTGTGTAATCTAGACTTTTCATTAAAATAGCCGAATCCCGGCTTGTTGTTCCTGGACCTGGGAAGTATTAACAATGAAGATCGAAAACCAAACCGTAGACCAGGAAGTAAGGGCCTTTACTTCCTTATTATAGAATGATGTTCTAGTTTTTTCTAATTAAATCGCTTTTAATTTTCTGATCTGTTGCAAGCTGAAAGTTTTTTTTTTTGACATAACGGTCATTTTGCTAGCCACAAATTATTGCTCAGGATATTTAGTCGAGTCGTGCGCATTACTTCACATCTGACTGGCACGTGACCTTAAGTGGTGTAGCCAATCACAACCTGCCAACGATGTTGAAAGCAATGACCACCGGCTCTTCTGTGATCACCATGGCTTTTTTTCTTTATTTACGGATTAGGCAAGGAAATAAACAGTACAGATCAAAAGGGAAGATTTTTTTCTTATTTGTAACTTTTTTCAAATTTTATGAGACATTCTTCTGTAAGGAAAAAAAAAAAGAATTTATTTAAAATTTTCTCTGAAGAGTAATTTTTTGATCAGTTATTTAGACGAAAGCAATTTTTTTTTGCCTCCAAGCCACAGCTGCGATAAACAAGACTGTTGCCAGGCAACCACATCAAGAGTTTACTTCTATTGCCCGTTGTGCTGCAGCCGCGTTGTACGTCACCTTACTTTATCATTTTGTTCTATTTATTTTTTATTCCACCTATAAATTCTCAAGTATTATTTTAAATTACTATTCCCTGTTTTTGAATCTATTAAAATGGCATATCACAATTTTACATTACCTTTGTTGACAGTGTACCTTGGGAAGCCCCCTCAATCAAAAATACGGAAAACATGAAAGAAAGAACAGGATTTGACATTTACGTACCTTCCAGGTAGTCGCCGTCCGCTAAAAGATATCTTAGCCAGTCATGATTGCAATTTAAGTCTTCCTCCATATCCATTATGTTTAGATAAGCAGCTATTCTTGATCTGTTCCAAGACTTAAGCCGAGCTGACGTCCTTACGTCTTGACTGCGAGAAGTGCACTGAATCAACGTGCCTCTGAGTTTGAGCCATGTACTTCAATTTTACTTCCGCTATGCTAATAACGTGAGACACGTGCAGACACGCGGAAGCGTCTAAAATATTGTCCAATTACAGTTCACCGAGTATTTCTGCTGTTACCGAGCTGTCTATGGAAGCACGTAGAAGATTTTCTGTGTTTTTCGCGATCACCGTTCTGCCCTGTTAATTAATCTTTGTTATTCACCAGAGGTGCTGCTAGGGAAGTGAATGTTTGGTCTTTAGTGGGACAACATTTGTGCGTGTTATTTATCAGCCAAAGCGAACAGAAAGCCTTAACGCTTTCACCCAGTTTTCGAAATGATTTCCATTAAAAACTGAAGTTTTTCAGGCTTCTAATTTATCGAGCTTTGAATATTTTTGGCGGGCAAATATTTTTAAACCACAGAAAACGTGACTTCGCATTCACCCCCGCCACCACTATCAATCATAACATCTCACGGCTTGTCTGAATTCGATCACATGCTTCGAGTGTTTAGTCTACTCTTTCGAGTTTTTATTTGGCAAGTTTCACCGAGCACACACTGGCCTGCAAATATATTCCTATCGGAGTGAAACGAAATATTTTTTTTGATGTGTTAATTTTTGACACATGTTTATCGAATATTAGCACGCGGCCTGATGATTTTGAACATTTGTGTCGGTTTTAAAAGGCTACAAAAGCCATAATGTTGTATTTACGAACTGGTGAGAAACATCTGACCGGAAGCCGTCGCAGCTTTTGTCTTTTGTGACTATGCAAATTAGTTGTTGTTATGATGTAAAGTATGCTTTGTTCTCACGAGACGAAAATAAATTTCTTTTGTATGTTTTTCAAAATCGCAAGAAAAACCTTTCAATTTCTTTAATGCAGCGACAAATTTGATGCATGGGTTCTAGTATTTTAGAAATACACTCCGGTCGAAAGTCGGCTCGGTTTAAACGTGTAGTTAGAAAGTAATTCACAGATTCGCACTGCTAAGCTGATTTATTAGAGATTAAGAATATCTATTTGAGAAGATCACGACTGACCCAATTTTAAAAAGGCTTCTCTAACTTTGAAATGAAAACTTTGGGCGAGCCATAGCTTTTCGATGTCTTGATAAATCAGGTTTTAAGCTATAGTGTGCATAATGCTAACGCAGCCGCTTGAAAGTGCTTTTATTCAATGCAAGTGACTATTAGGAATTTGTAAGAGCGGCTAATGTCACTCACTACTGTGGCCAGCGCCGATACCGGTTTGGTTTTCAAGAACGAGAAGTAAACTAAATGAAAAAATTTTCATATAAGATATCATTCTCTTATGTTTTCAATGGTGAGTATCTAAAACAGGCTCTCCGTGATTCGATATATTTTTAGGCTTAACAACGCAATGTCGTCAGAGCAAGTCACACGTGAAAGATTTGCTAAAAATATATGTTCTGTTTTGACTTTACAATTTTGGGAATGAAAATTGGCTGGTTTTTTTTAGGTTTTGCAAGCGTTTGATTTATGCTGACATTCTGAGAAAAGAAGATTTGTTGTGATTGTGGGAAATGTATTTTTACATATTTTTTGACGATATGCAAAACAGCGCGCGTCACGCAAACCACCAACAAATAATTACAGTTTGACAAGGATCATTATCATGGAAAACAGGTTATGTGAAGATGAGATGAGCTTTAAACGATTACGATTATTGTCATCACGATCAATATTCCTCTTTTTATGCGTATTTGAAATAAATTGTCCCTCCCGAGGGAACAAAGCCTCAAACAATTTAAATATTCAAAGTGTATTTTAAATCATCAGAAATTACTTCAATCGGCAACACAAATGTTTTCGTAATATTCCTGATGTTTAACATTCCGCCAGGAAATAATCTTAGCTACTCTACTTTAAAGTTTTCTACTTTCGGTTTCTTTTTCCTGGATTTCTTAGAATAACCGGCAAGACCTTTTACCGGAAGTACAGTACATTCGTGGCAAACAATCCTACGTGACAAGTTGGTCAGACATTCAACCAGGAGCAAATATAATGAGTCACGGTTTGTTGTTGATAAATATTGCAAACAAGCGCATGACTAAGGCCAGCGGCGAAAATAGTACGAACATATCTAAGCTGTTTGAAATATTTCTCTTTCTTCTAAATCAAAATCTAGTTTTTTTTATAACTATATTTACGGCCAGGCGTATACTTCAATAAGAAACACTAACTTGGAAAGTTTGTAGCCGTCTACGTGACGTACGTGCCGTTTGACCGGGAAGCTGAGTGTTTTGTTTTTGTGTTTCATTTTCGGTCAGGTACCTCGGTTGCTGTCTGGGATTTTGATAATTTCGTCCTGTTTACCATCGACATTGGTCACGTTTCCCAGACTTTCCTTCTTAAATTAAGTTATTTCAAACAGAACAAGACTTAAATATTTAATTCATGCTCACGTATACTTGGGTACGACTTTAACCATATAGTAAAACTGTAATATGAATATCAGAAATTTTTGTTTGATCTGTTTTTTTGTTAAGATCAAAAATTATTTTACCGCCTGATCTGTAGGAATCAAGTGTCCTACTGATAAACTTCCTTATAGCAATGCAGGATCGTTCAGCTAATTCGAAACCATTGAGGTCTTCTCACTTCCAGTTAAAAGCTTCTCCCGGTTTTGGAGAATTGAAGGGAGTCTAATGTTGGCTTGTGAAGCTCAAATTTGACGCATTGTTTTTCCTAGTGTTATTTCTGCAAGCCACCATTAAGATAGAAGAGAAATAACACGACGCTAAAATGCAAGTCAACATCTTGTATGTTAGTCAACAAGTTGATTTGTCTGCTTCGCTGCCGTGCTTTAGTATAAAACGCAACGCTCCGTTGCGTGACATTCGAAGCGCGGTTGAGGAGGAGAGCAAGGATGAAGGAGACTGAAAAACGGATTGTTATGCTTAAATTTGATATCTGTACACTCCGTCGATTGGAAACATGCAAGAGTTGAGCATGTTTGGTCACCATATCCTGCCTCACGGAGTGTGTGGCAATGTTTACATGTTAATGTTTACATGTCATTCATTAAAAATTTTCAGACAGATTCTAACCGAAATACAAAGCGTCAAATGAAAATAAACCGAATTAAGCGGCGGTATCAATTCCGAAGCAAAAAAATACGCAAACCGGAAAACGTATCTATAAACTGATTACAGTATTTTGAATGGTTTCTGAACGACTTGCAAAACCATCCTTTAAACCTGGAGACAAGTTAATGATGTAATAAAAAGATAACACTATAGAGGCAATACTGTACTAATAAAGAGCAAGGATGGAGGAGATTGACAACAGATTTAATTGGAATAATTATTTAAGATAGACAAAGTGTGACTCAACAGCTCCTTTGGGGAAATGAATTTTCTAAAAGCATGTATAAAGGAAGAAAGGATTCCGGTATTCTTTTCAGTTTTCGTATTTTTTTTTTCAACCAATTCTTGCACCAAAGAAGACAGGGGCGAAATCAGCAGGTGCACTTTTTAGCCGGTTTCGGCGCTGCCATCATAAATTCACGATTTGTAGTCCCCAAAACTAATGTGATGAGTCACTTTGTATTAAATTTGTTCAAACATTATGTCGGTAATTGACACAGATTTCTCCGAGTACAAACGTTTCCTTAACTTCGTCGCTCTAAACAAGAATGCCCAAACAAAGAGATTGGCATACTAATCCTACCCTGTAAGGAATTTTTCTATAACCTTTAGGGGAAAAATTATTTCTAACGAAGCTATGTCAGTCATGACCGATTAATCACGCGTAAGGCACAGCAGCCTCGGCAACGCTTAGTATTATTAAGGCGTCGGAGGTGAAATCTTTCTGTTTTGTCTGGCAGAACTGTTATTACATGCAAGATTTCCTCAAACGATAAAACGATCATTGTAATACTGAGTCGTGCATGATAAAACATTTTGACAAGAAGCTAAGTACATGTGGCATGTTCGGTTTCCAGTTGTGATTTCATCGTACCAGGAAGTAATGGATGTCGGTAGCATCTGGACCACGGAAAAAATCAGGTTCCGGCCTGTGAAGGAATGTATGTCTTCCCTTTTTTTTTTTTTAATACCCTTATTATTAATAAGAAATCTTTGTTATTTTGCACACGGTCTGTTTGCTGAAACTTATTTTGAATGTACGGAGGTTTTGGCTGTATTGCTGAAGCAGTCTATTTTTGATGGTGCTGTCAGTATGAGTCATCATCTCGCACCTCAGAAGGCCAAGCAAAAACCAGTATATCATGGATCAAGAATCCCAAAAATTTTAAGTGTTATCTTGTCTGTATGCATGAAAGATGATCGATCTTACGCACTTTCATTACTTGTATATTTTTTCATAATTTTATTTCAGCAACTGGTTAGATGTATGCCGCAGCTTTAATCGTAGACTGAAAGATTAGAGTTCGCTTTGCCAAGAACTGAGGCTTTTTTAATGGCAGACAGGGTGTCAGGATTCCCCTGGTGCGGTTGTTCAAAGCCCTGTAGTATGAGTTTTTTGATGAAGTCACTGATGTTTTCTTTCGGCGCAGTTGACCTGGAAGTCAGAACTTCTGAGGCCCAAACCACAATGATGCGTTTTCGTTTGAAAACGGTGGCATCCGTTATGTTTTGATCCGTTTTCGCCAATCGCCCACACTAAGACGTGTGACATTTTTGATATTGCAGACTTACAATGGAAATGTCAAAATTGAGTGATGACGAATCGTGTTGAAAACAGTTTCTTGTGTTGAAAGGTTAAATTGGATGGTTTTTAAAACACTGAGTCTAGTAAAAAGGCGTCTGTATGCTTTCGATTTCTTAACCGTTTAACTTCGAGGCGTTTTTATGTGGATGATAGCGAAGAAACATCAAAAAATTTTCTAAATGTAAGGCGTTTTGATGTGGAAAGCTAAAAGTAACACGAAAACACTTGTGTGAATGGAATATTGTCTTAAGGCAAAAACGGATATTTGCAGGTAAACCTATTTTTGTGGTAAACGACTACATGTCTTTTAAAAGGGAAAAGAACAGATTTGCGTGGGTCTCTTATCTTAAATTAGCATATCGGTAGGTGACATTTTGCAATGGACCGTGGAAATTCCACAAAATTAGGAAATATTATGGTCGTGGAGTTCCAAAGTGAAGACATGTCTGGAATCCCACAACAAACAAGACCACACAGTTCCTTCATATAGCAGTTTTGATACATTAAGCTTAGTGGAATTCAGCCAATTACTGTAGAGGAAAGAAGAACAGCAAACAGTACGTGTGGTAAAGCTGCTATGAAGGCTGAGGATTAACGCGGGTTCTGCATTAGTAAGCTCTTAATTAACTGTTAATTTACAGACAACTTACTTTAGTTCTACTCATGTAGGATTTCATCTACATATACAGAATGGTACATTCATAACGCTTTTCAAAAGCAATTCTTTCAAATACGGCTGTTTTAAAATGAATACAAACTTGACGAGTTAATTATTTAATCAGGGCTAAGTAAATTCCAAAATACCCATGTCAATTCTGTAACTCAGGTCACAAACTCGCCCACGTATGTGGTGACCGGAAGATGCTAGACCTTATTTGCTAATCTTGGTTTATTTTCTCGAAGACTCGTTTTCTTGATCGAATATTTCACCTAGGGAAAATTTGCTGCAAGCAGGTAAAAAAAAATATTAAAACTGTTCAAATAGGGTCAAGGAAAGCAGCTCTCAGTTACATATATTAAGAAGGAAACTGTCGTCTTCCTTGAGAGAAGATCACGTCCGAAACCATTGGACAGACCATCTTCCTGTTTCGGTGAGAACAACTGAACCATGTCATTACATTTGCACACGTTTTGCAAGTGAGATATTTGTGGCCGTTACTAAATGTCTCTCGTCAATTCCTGAAGCAGGCTATTTATGGTAACATGCAGTCTGTATTTAGTATCACCGGTAGTTATGAAAACAACATTCTCCAAACCTCCTCACCACTGCCATTTAAAATGATTTTACCTCTTTATTTGCAACAAAATCCTTTAATAAGAGATAAATGAAAAAGACTTTTTGAACGCTGATCCTCATTGTTTAATGTGCAGTTATTTTGACTAGATATTTATGTTGACAAGTTGATCACTTGCCTAAGAGTCCCGCCATATTACAAAATTTCAAATTAGGCTTGCAGGAAAATTCATGAGTCGAATTAAAACACACTACGAGACATGGAATTAGGTGGTCTTCTTTGAAGTTTAGGCCATACACACTAAGGGACACTTAACTTGAAAAGACGGGAAACGGTGGTATTTCGTGATACGTACTCGAGCGGTAAGGGATTTACATATAACATACATAAACACATAAACACATACACTTTACTGAGACTCCCTTCATCAGGGCTTTCAGTCACAATGTTAACCATTACATAATACTGGTAATTAAGAAAACTTATTTACAGTAATTTAACTAAATTCAAAATATATTCAAAATTATTTCTATATGAAACATATATATTATTAAAAAATTATCTGCTTAAAATTATTAATTTCTTTTAGTGTTCTTAATATTGTCAGCTAGCCCATTCCTTTCCCTTGGATCTCGAAAGTAAAATGCCCTTCTTCCCATTGAAAACATATCAGGGGGACCACAAAATTGTTTCATTCCCTTGTGTTCTTGTTGTGAACTGCTGAACGTTTAACAAAATATTTACCTAAATAATCTGGAGCTAAGCCATTTACACATTTAAATGCTAAAACTAAGTCATTAAATGAAACCTTCTCTGTAACATCTAACCAGCTAAGAGATCTCCTTCTCTGGGAGATGTAGTCAAACTTCCTAACCCCTAATACAACTCTGGTAGCAAAATTTTGTACTAGCTGCAGTTTGTGTATATTATGTTTGGATGTGTTCTCCTACACTGAGGAACAATAGAATAGTTTACTAAAAACAAAGCTATTTGTAAGTAATAAAAGTGTTTTCTTGTCTAAAAGGTGTTCAATTCTACTTTTCGGTACTAACTGGTTCATGCAACCAGAGGCTGGTTTAGTGATATGTACATTATAGGTAAGATATTGATCAATATATACCCTGAGATCCTTAGCAAACGAAACTGGTGTGATAGTTTTGTCCTAACAGGGATAAGGAGATATGAAGTAGCCTCCTAATAAGTTGTCTAATTTTGTCTTCTCAGGGTCTATAAGTAGAGAACTCTCTGCACACCATTTACTCATGTTCCTAAGATCTTGGTTTACAGCTGCCAACAGTGAGTCTCTTACAGAATATTTAAAGTATAATTTACTATCATCAACATACGTAGTGGGTTGACTGTGGGTAATGACACAGGACCCAAGATTGATCCCTGAGGTACTCCATTTGTTAAAGGTCACAATTCTGAGACTTAATATTTGTATTGTACTCTTTGATATCTACTGGATATATAGGTAGCTACTAAACCGGGAAGTTAGAGAAGCTTTGAGGCCCAGTTTTCGTAATTTTTTGGACAACAGATTATAATTAAGGTTGTCGAAAGCTTTTGACATATCAAGCAGCACTGGTAACAAGGCTGATTTTTCATCAATTGCTTTCAAAATGTTGTCTGTAACATTTATGAGGGCAGTTTCTGTCAAATGCATTTTCCTGTTGTCAGTTTGATAAGTCTTTTACCATGTTTTGTCAAAAAATTCCACAAATTGTTTGTGTGCCAGACTTTCACTTGCTTTTGATAGGATGGATAACAATGAAATCGGCCTGTAGTTGGCTATTTCTTCTGAGTTTCCTTCTTTGGGTACGGCTGTCACCTAAGCAATTTTCCATGCTTTAGGAAAAGCAGCCATCTTAAAATGAATTGTTCACCAGTCTGGAAATCACTGCTGCGATGCTCTCACAACTGTCTTTCAGGACTTGTGCAGAGATTTTATCATATTCTGGTGCTTTTTTCAGCAGCTAAATTTACTCTTAATGACAGACTTGATGTCAATTTCTTTTACATCTTGAAACTCAAATCCTTCTGTTTCAGCGTGCAGGCCAGTGTCAATAATTCTCTCCCCAAGACCACATTCTTTATCCAAACCGTGTTCCCTTGTTATCAAGTTCGCATTATGGGTAGTAAGTCCTCCTTCTGATAAAAAGTACTGTTGAATTTATTTGCCTAAGTCTCATGGTCCTTCAAAGTGCTTGGACATTTAGCTATACCACGAGACATACAATTGATTTAAGATCTTCCAAGTGGCATTTGTATTTCCTCTGCTAGCTGTTATCTGGTATTTTGGATTTGCATTGAGGAAGTCATGATGTACAGCTGTTAGAATGAAATATTCTGATTTTGGCTTAGGAATGTTTCGTTATTTTGTAAGGCATCTTATGAAAGTCTTAAACTAAATTCTACTAGGTTTTCATTTCATCCTTAGGTTTGTATGCCTTTCCCGAACATCTGATCAGAAAGCCAGCATGATTTACATGAAATAGCTGTAAGTTGAGCTCGGAAACATATAATTTCATGGACACAATCTTTGAATAAACTTCTCCCCATCTATAATAAGCCTCATTCCTCCCCCTGAAACTATTTTTCCAGTTAAAAACACAGGGCAGCCTGATAATGCTATGCAAATGGTTTATTTTATAGTATTGTTAATTTTATATTTAGGTTAAGCAGCATTGCAGTTCGAAATATGCTTGTTTTAAAGACTTAAATACTTGTTATCATTCAAAAAATATTTACTGTGGGGTTGTGAGATGAAGAAATGCATACTGTAGATAGCTTTCCTTAAAGCTGTGAAAAATTTCATTAATATGGGAAAGTTATAACATGTGTAGGGGTTCCCAGTGAGCTCTTAATATTAATGATAAGCTCCCTGCTCTCTTGGCCTATATATCTCCAACAAGGCCCCCCTTTCCCTTATCAGGAGGAGTTAAATGTAATAAACTCCTCCTCTAATATGATCATTAGAGCATTTGCATCAAATCTAAAGCAGTGTCTGAAATGCTGTTTGTCATGTTACTGCTATGACATGGGAGAATTAGAGTGAGAGGGGTACAACAGATACTTGTGTAAAAGGGCCCTCATGGTGATAGGAAATGGGGGAAAGCTAAATGTGATTAAAGTGAAAATAACACAACTCGTGTTATATTATTGTGTTTTAATTATTATTGCTTTTCAAAATTACCAATATTCTGCGGCTTCTTCTTCTCTATAGTTTTTTAATCAAAATGAAACTCCTACACTCTATAGCCTTCAATCTTTTTACGTACTGTCAGTGACTTGTAGATTTTTTAATATAGGTGTAAACCATGATAACTCTAACTTCACTTCACAAGTCTCCAACTATGTTTTTGAAAAAGTTCATACTTAGATTTAAATAACAATAATATAAGGTCAGTCTGAAGTTTTGATGGTTTCTAGCTTTACCTGCAGAGAAAATTCATAGGGAGATATTTGGCTTTCTTTTGAGATATAGCTCTCATACAAAATAACTAGTTGAATAAATCTTGTTCGAGACAAATGTTGAATGTATTGCCAGGAATATTTAATTAATGGAGAAAATGCCACCTTATTTCCTGAACATTTGTTTAATTAAAGTCCATTTAAAAATCATAAATTTAGATCATAAAAAATGCATTGCAAGTGTGTGATTTAGTTAAAAATAAATGCAGTTTTCACTTGACTGTCAAAAACTAGACTTAATGAAAGTAACAGGGCCATATATTATAACAAAGGTAATCATTGTAAGCCAATGAGAACTCAGTGAGAAATAACCAAAGCTAAGGAAAGTGCTGGTTACCATTTTTTTGTTTAGCATCTGATTGTTCAATGGGATAGAGCAAGTTTGTAAGACTAATCACAGGGTGAAATAAATCAATAACAAAGCAATCCTGTGTCAGGTAGCCCTAACACTCCATTGCAAGTAGCTAAACTATCTATAATTAAAGGAGAATAGGATTGGAATGTCTGTGGTATCTTTCACATAAACTTAAGCTTTAAACCAAGAAAATTTGAGTCTGCAAGATGGGTATTGAACTGATGGCCTTCTGGAACCCAATAAGGCATTACCCTTTTGATCCACACCCTGAGGTCAAGAGAAAACTTCATCCTAATCATAAAATCTACTGGTAATTCCTACCATGATATGTGAATTCGTAAGAGTAGCACAGTATGGTAGTTATATTGAACATTTGAAATCCAGCTTAAAAGGAAGACTTGAAAATCATATTGTTACTCAAAACAAATATCAGGTCATCAAGGTTTTAAACTTGTTTGGTTTAAATTTCCTTCTGTTCTAGATACATTACTTTACCCCTGAATTTATTTCAACCTAGAATCAGTTTAAAGTCCAACATTTTTTCAAGCTTTCCTGGTGTTAGCATTCATTTCCATCCTTTTGAAGTGTGAACATGAGAACAATTGACCTTTTACTCCCAGAAAGGGATTTTATTAAGAAGAGGGAGTTTATGCATTAAAACAATGTTACTTGTTTTTGCAAAATTAAATCACATTTAACAAACAACTCATGAATAAAAGTTAACTTAATCACAGTGAGGATTTGAGGTGCTCTTATGGTTTAACAAAAATTTCTCCTTATGAATTTACAAGAATAGGTATGGAAGCTTCTGGGGAGAACTTTATATTAGGACTTGGGAATAAGAGATTTACAACAACAGCTTTGTAGACTTCTAAAACCTTGTTACATGGCTACGGTAGACGGTCATAGCCTCCTTTGCTTTAGTTGGCAGTATCAACATTTTATTCCATTAAATTCACTTTGCAATTATTTGTTTACGGTTCATTAAAAGTTTTATGTAATTTAAGTACTTAAATTCAGTTTAAGTAGGAAGAATATATGGAAAAATCAAGGTACATTTGTGATGACTTCATAGAAATGATATCATATGCAAAGAAAGGATTTTTCCCGGACTCAGTAAGTGAATTAACTTCACATATTTGTAGTTCAAATTTTATGATAGTTACAAGTGTTTTTTCTACCTGGTGTGTAACATCTGTGTTGTAAACAGTTTCTTTCTCTACAATCCCTGATGCTTGTAATTACTGAAATGCAAGCTCATTTGCAATTTTTTTGCGTAATTGGAAACGAACGAAACAGAGCACTAGCGTTAAACGGTAGTTACGGCTCCATCAGTTTTTTTTTTACCTCCTCTTACCCCATTTTTCGCGCGTCCGCTTTTTCCTCCCTTCCGTGTTTCCTAGGGCGTGCATTAGGCTGGGTTTCGTCAGCTTGGGGCACACTTCTTCCTGTCAGGGGGAGAGGGGCTATCCCCTAGATTGGGCTCGTCCATTGCGCACCTTGAAAAAACACTACGTTACGCACATCATTTTGATGATAGTCCAAATGTGGTTTGAATTCACCCATCAATTCTTTTTGTTCCACTCTGTGGCACATTATGTAGTTAGTAAAAGGTAACGATTGAGTCGCGAGAGTGTGTTTCAATAATCCGCACGTTTTAAAGAGAAGACGCCATTTGTTGAGACTCGGCAAATGAGTTAGAAGAAAGGCCTGTTTTTCTGGTGGAAAACGAAGATGTAAATGTGGATCGACGATACCATCCAGTACGTTTTCTCGAAGAGCAAATTGATTTTCTGGCTCGCCGAAAATCCTGCTTGAGAAAGGTGTACAACAGTGGGTTTAGGAGACCAGTGCTAAACCTCAAAATCAATAAAATTACATCAGCCCATAATGGGATCCCTACCCTATTGCCTAAATCCTCTTGCAACGAATTGAAAAAATAGTTGAACCATCCCACGATGAAAACGCAAATCATTGCGCTGTAGATAAGCAGGGCTTTCCGTTCTTTTTTGGAGTTGTGTTGCGTGCACTGCGAAGAAATATGAGATACGTCGCGCTTTATTTGCTCGCAGTGTTTCCTTAGAGTGTAGAAAATATGGAAGTACGCCACTCCCATTATCACTAGAGGAACAACGGCTAGTACCGCCAGGCAAACAAAATCGTAGGTGATTTGGCTTTGGCTTGGTGCTTTCATTGGATCGCGCATGAATGAGATTTGGGAGAGTGAGACGCAGAGTGAGGTTAACCAGACTACCAACAGAATTGCCACGCAGGTTTTCTTGGAGATGACTGACGTAGTTCTCATGACCGAGAACACAATTGTAAAATATCTCTCCAATGTTATCAAGAGTAGGTGGAGCACGGTTGATATCGAGAGGAATCTTTGCCCCAAGTCCATAGCCACACAGATATAATAGTTATTATGGGTGGTACAGGCGATAATGAGTGGTACTGCATACAAACCCGATAACATATCGGATATCGCCAGGCTTGCCAGGCAGAAGTTGGTCACTGTCTTCAGATACTGTCTGGTACACACAAGATAAATGACGAAGCCGTTGATAACAATTATAGATAGCCCAATCGTGCACAGGATAACGAAGATAGCTATGATTACATCAAAGTCTTCTTGGGAATGAGAGTCCATTTCGTCATTTGAGGTGTAATTTACATTACTGTCGTTTGACATTGTTGCGTCAGAGAGCGCCATCGAAGCTGGTCTGCTTCTTTATTAGTTCTTGGGTTTCGTTCTTTTGAGGTTTTGCTCCCTGTTTCTGATGGGGTGGAAAAAGATTCCGAGTTAATTTTCACTTCTTCTGCTCTTTAACTGAGATAATAGCATTCACATCTTTAAGAAGTGTGAAAAACAGTAATATTCTAATATTTATTTATTGTTGCACGCTAATTGGTCGCTCCTGGACAGCATATCAATCATAAGCCAATGTTAAGTGAGATCTTTCCTTTAATATTTTATCAGGTTGAACAAAAATAGGACGAGAGGTGACATTTTGTTTGCCTTTTTCATTGTACTCGCTCCTGGTACCTTAATTGTGGTTGGGTACTTTTGTGAAATCTTACATTTCCACAATTGTTGTCGAAAATCGTAAGAGGCAAGCGAACAAAACTGATACAAGATATGACATTTCGATGCGATAAAATTGTGAACTAGGAAGGAAAGTAAAGTGACGGTTTTTAGCTGCGTCCTCTGATGAATGAGTGTTCCTTTCCAATAAATTAATTTCGCTCTATATGTAGAGCATTTACAATGATTTTAACCTTGGAAAATTTTTTAAGGTGACTACGAGAAGACGGATGAAAATTATTTTCATGGCTTATAATTTCATCTTCTCATTTTCGTGGCAATTTTCCGTTGCTTTTCTCGTTGCTTTTTGACTATAAGCAGTCCCTCCTTTTCGGCGAAGTTCGTTGCATGAGTTGAAAAAGTGAAAGAAAAATTGATGTTAGCGAGCCGTGGAGGGTTTTTAGATGACGTCGATGCGTGGTGGGAGCTCTATGAGTCAGGCGCCTCACTCATGGAGCTCCCGTGGCGCATCGAGGTAACTTCAAGAGGCCCTCTTCTATCAATTTTTTTCACCGGTTTATTTTTTTACTCGCGCCACGGACTTCGCCGAAAAGGATGGATTGCTCGCAGTCTACGTTGTTTTGTAAGAAAAGCAACAAGCAGTTAGGATGATAACCATTTCTAAACTGAAACGGTTTAATTTTGGCTGATTTTTTTACTTGTACGTAGCCGCCTCTTCCTTTGGCTTCCACGCGGTTTATTTTGAAGCGTTCAAAAGGGTCAAACGAAAGAACTAATCTCTACGAGGCCGATAAACGGGAGTTGTGATTAGTCTTCCGTTTTGCGGGTCACGGTAACTTTCGAAATAGGTGGCCATCTCTACGGAGAATTAATCAATGAATATAAAGGCTTTCGAAAGGTGCTTTTACCTCAAAATGTTATAATGATTTCTAAGCAATGATACGAAAAAAGTCGATCTCCGCGAAGTGATCACGTGCTGAAGTCATCACATGCTCACCATTTTTGGAGCAATGGGTGTTTCGCAGTGCGCCAGAACTTGTCCGCTCAGACTTGCACCTGATCCCAGCCGTCTACTTAGGGTATAAGTTGTTACAATTGGTTCATTTTCAAACGATTCGTTAAACCGCCAACAAACACATTTTAACAAAAGCCCATTCAAATGACCTTCTTAATAACTCTCATCGTACTGATTTTTTTTACCTCAGAGGTAACAAATCAATAAGATGAGTCATGATTCTAAGTGTTTATGTTTGTTGATGATCCTAGCAGCATGCAGGACGCGTGTCATATGAACTTCGTAATAAACCTCGCTCACCGTGGAGTCTCTGTGGCTCAGTGGTAGAGTATCGGAGCTCTGAGGTTCGATTCCTCATGGGGACTCAAAATTTTTTCGCTGTCCCATGCTCGTGACGAAAAAAAGATCTTTCTCTGTTTATGTTTGTGTTAGGTTTAACTGTTTGAGTCGTATGATTTGTTTATGGATATAAAAACGTATAGGTTACTTACGAAAGGAAATACTAATCGCTTAATATAAATCATGTTTCGGTTAGAAAGCTCTCCAAGGACTGCCCATGTTTATCAATCAGAGCTAAGATTTTTTTATGACCCAGTGTTTATATTGGATGCAGTGACGGCTCACAATGATACCTTTTGTAAGGTAAGTTTGACCAAAGAATGTACGAATGAACTTCTGCCTGTAAAGTGAATTCGCTGTTATTGAATTTTCTGTTTGCTTTACAATCAAGTCTTGAGAAATTGCCACAGCTCGGTATTACTTAACCATAAGATAATTTGGTTTTATCAACTGAGTTGGTAATGTGAATTGGCCATTGTGAAGAGTTTCTAGAGCTGATGTTTCGAGCGCCGGCGTTAGCCCTTCGTCAGAGCGTTAAAAAGGCTGCACCACAATTTCTTAAGTGGCTTACCTCCTTTATTACTTGATAATAGTCTGGGCAACGATGAGAATAACGATCTTAATCACGAGTTAATTGCAGTTTCTGGATATTTGCACAGCGGTGTTTTCTTTTCATTAGAGCAGACAACTAGGCGGGTGGCAAGTTGCACCTCTGGAGAAGACACTCATCAAGATTTTACCACGCACAGGCTTGAAATGATTCCATTTTTAAGCATTTTCTTGAGCAATAACACTTAGAGAGTTCGGAAACAGGTTTGTGTTTGTTTTTCTTGTGGTGCGAAATAAAGTTGACCAATCACGAATAAACGCCTATCATTGTTCTAAGGAAGAAGCGTCTCTGATTGGTCGGAAGGGGCAGCCAACTGTTTAGTTCGTTAGTGAAATGGATTTTCTTTAGTTGCTTAGTGTGGAGGTGGCAACCATGTGCGAATGACATCAAGAGGTGGAAAGTGGTGCACTAAACATATTGTTCCCAATTGAAATGCGATTTCGTGATTTCTTTTACTGTCACTTCCAGAGGACAAAAAGTGCGCATTTTCAAAAAATTTTTTTTCTCTGAAAAATCATTTTTACCTTCTCTTGTATTCAGAAACTGCGGCAGTTGCGCAATCAAAACTGAAAGTAATAAATAAAACAATGCTGTTTTTTTCATCAGAACTTTGCTCACTGAAGTACAATGCAAATATATGACGCCGAGATTATTTTCTTCTTCTATATTTGAGTGCAAGCAAATATTAACAGTTGGCACTATATAACTTGATAGCTTTTACACAAATGGGACTTAAGGCTTTCCCTTAATTGTGAATGCTGAAATCATTTAGGTATTTACTGGAAAGACATCAGAACATTGCTCATTTGCCTCATATATTCACCTCCCAGTGACTACTAGTTAGCATTTTTTGGCTTTATAAACAAGTAATGCACTTGAGAGTTACTTTTAACTAAAGCTTCTGGGTTTGATGAGGATTGGGCCTTTTTTTGGCCTCATGAACAGGGGACTCTCTTTTAAATTGATGTAAATTTGAGGTTATTTCTTTTTACTAGAGCTTTCGAGCAATTTGCCTGTTTTGTCAAAAGTACTCTTCAGTGAAATTTGGAAATGCAGACATGCGATGCATGCATGGTAATTAACTTTAAAAAAATTGAAATACTTTTGTGTGGTAATTTCAAATAGGAAAAGTATTGAGGTATAACGATTGCATGGTCAATTGTCATTTTATGGAAATAGTACAGAAAATAGTACAACCCACTCAATTGTAACAAGAGCCATGACTGATCTAACTGAGGAAAAAATAACTTTGTAGAAATATGTATGATTATAAGCTGTAAACGCTCTTAAATTTGTAACGTGTTTACTGACCTTAAAACGAGGGATGCCTTTTTAATGTGTTGAGTCTGTCGCTGGCTTAGCGTAGTCCATATTCAATGAGGTATAGTCAGTGACAATGCGTTGCTGGGATTCAGAACGTATCACTGGTAATGATAAAGGTGTAAATTGTTCTTTTTCGTTGTTTTTCGTTTGTAATGCATTCATCCTTTGTTATTTTAATTCAAAGCGAAAAGGTCTTGAGCTTATCGACTCTTATTGATTTCTTTTTGATATGTTAATGAAATGAATGTTGAAAAACTCAGGATGCTTATGTGAATCTCTCCTAGTTCATACAATTGTTTTCTATTTTAGTGATTGAAAAACCATCGGGAAAATCAAGAATGAAAATCGATGGGAATTGTTTTGCGTTTAAAGCTTTAGTGCTCGAGTTTTTTCGCCACGTTACACAACCCTGATTGTTTTATTCAAAGAATCATCTGTTTGTCCTTACCAAGCCGGTGTGCTTTTGCAGCGTTATCTTAAGAGTGTGAAAAATAGAGCTTTCTTTATACCCGTGAAATGTCCGCAGCCGGCAATCGTAAACGACTCTACTTAGTTTGAATTGTTAAGTAATGATACCTTGAACGTAGATGCTTTACTCCGGAGTTTTGTCATGGTCTAAAATTATCACTAGTAATGATGTAGAGTGGATTCCCATCCAATGGGATCCATAATAATAGGGAAAGTTAACAAAATCAGACGACCGCGAAGCAGGAGTCCGTTTTGTTCAACACTGATATGAATGAACGTGAAATAATGGAAAGATAACGAAATTAGTTCTTCTCTTGAAAAAAACTTATGTAGATATCTAACCTTTTGGAATATATATCCTGATAGGTCGTGGTGCGCAGAAATCAGTTAATATGTTGTGTTTTCGTCTTGTTGTGATGATGTGGAAGAACAATGCAAATTTTTAAGTTCAAGAGCCACTAATAAAATCATTGTTGACCGAAAACAAATTAATGCTGAATTGTACTTACATCACTAACTGGGGGAAAGTAATTAAAAAATGTATTATTCTTAGACTTTTTATCACCTTTGTGTTGAAATTCTATTTTAATGATTTTGACATTGCTTGAATTGTTTTCCAAAGTAGGTCGGTGCATTTATGCAATGGAACGAACCCCTCCTAAGATCAGTTAGAACTGAGTCTTAAATATAAAGTGACAAACCTTCATTATCGGATACCCGGCCTTCACAACGAAAACGGTCGCTAAAGCGCTTGGACCTCATCGTTTCCTACAACAGCCAGTATGGTTAATCATCTACCGAAGAGTAGTCTGGCAACCTTGCTCAGGCAGTCAATCCTTAACAATTTATATTGCCAAAGGAGAGTCAAACTGTGTTTTATATTTATTTCTAAAGGGCTCGTACCGTTAATATTGTGAACTTTTCGTTCTCTTGATTAATAATACACATGATCTAATAACATAGTGGAAGAAGTCACGGTAAATATTGTAGAACACGTCCCGCCGCTTTGCTTGCGCTCTCTCTCGCTCTCTCCGTCTTCAGACAGTAGTTATGGTAGCTCTGAGTCGATTTGTTATTTGGCAGCTACGTTGCTCCTTCTAATATATGTCTCTCTGACAAACAATCGCACTTTAATGTAAAATAAGTTGTCACAGTGTTACATCACACCTCTAACTCTATAATAAACTTGGTATAGATGGTAAAAGGTCAAGGAGACCTAATGATAGCCATCATTTGTGAAAATGATAATTGTGATAGCAATAGTAATAATAATGATAATAACAATGATGATAATAATGATGAATAAGTGGTAGAGACACGATCCATACAGAGTAGAGGAGAAAGATGACATTAAATTCATTTATATGCAGTAGAGCCAAATTTGATGTGGCAGTGACAGGGAATGTAGTTAGCATGAACACATGCGCGCCGAAATAGCGCAACTGAGTCTTGTTTTTGACAGTTTGACAGTTATATCTTACTCTTGTCAGCTCTCGAACTTTCAATTTTCATTTAGAAACATTTGTAATTTTGGCATCGAAGGAGTTCAGACATCTGTTACACCTGTTAATTTCATATACTATATCTCATGTTTGTCTTTTTGAGTACAGGCAGAACTAAAGTTGCCACGTCCCCATTTTTCGCAATAGTTCTTGGGTTTTTCATACCACGCGGTTACAAAATGTTTAGCCTTAGTGGTGTGAATTGTGTTTTTGCTGCTAATCGATTTGAGTTTGTACTGTGTAATCTCGTGGACTGCATTAAAACTCTCAGGATCACAGTTTTAGATGCACACAGACATATGTATAGCTTATAAGTTTTACATTGGTGAAACAGGAAGACGACAAGGTGACCGATTCCGAGAACACCTTCGCGACGTAGAAACAATTGACAAGGACGCATCCAAACCAGTCGCTAGACACTTAAATCTCCCTAATAATTATAAAAGCATAGGGCAGTTTGCAGCCCTTCCCAACATCTTGGCAGTTCGGAAAGCCGCAAACCTCTACTGAGAACAAAAATTTATCTTCCAAATCGGCACTCCAAATTCCCACGGTATCAAAGAGCGCTCAATTTTTCAAATAATTTATTCTTGTTTTCTCGTCACCATACTTCCACCAATACCGTAGCCCCACTTTCTGCATAGACACCCACACACAACCCAAAATTCCTCCGATCGCTCTAACGAAGGGCTAACGCTCGAAACGTCAGTCTTTAAACTCTTTACGGTGGCCAATTTACGCTTTCAACTCAGTTGATAACACTAAATTACCCTGTTATTATCAAATGTTCTTTCATCGACAGGTGTCATTACAAAGTGCGCCAGGAAATACAGCTTGAGCTCAAATGAACCGAGCCCACTTTGATAACTAAGTCGTTGATACCGAACACGATGATTGCAAGGGAAAGGACGAGTCATGAATATTGAGCGATGGTCGTTTCCATCTGTTCATGGCTGAAAAAAACCGCAAGATTGTTTTAACAGTTCTAATTTGAATTTGTGGATGATTAGCTTTCTTTAATGTCGATTTTCCAGACATCTGTTCATTAGATTGTTTGAATTCAGAGGTAAAGTTGACTGGAAATGAATGGATAGACAGCAAATAACTTCAAACTTTGGTCCGCACTGTCTCTTATGAGAACTTATCGTCTTTTTTTTCTAAACGAGTGACGTGACGAAATAAAACATCTGTCAGACGCGGAAAACGATTCTGACTTTTTATTCATTTGGGCCCACTTAGCCACAACAGGCTCTTGCTGCCTACAATAGTATTCCATTCAACTCGTTCACATCTAGCAATGTTAACAGCTGTTTCTCTAATGCACGTATCAGTAATTGTTAAAATATGGTGGCGACGTTTTGGGAAGCCAAAAACTGATATGTTGCTAATTCTGTCACGATAAGTTTCTTTTAATATCATATTTTTTTTACATATTTGAAACAGTAATTGTTAAAATATGGTGGCGACATTTTGGAAAGCCAAAAACTGCTATGTTGCTAATTCTGTCACGATAAGTTTCTTTTATGTCATATTTTTTTAAACATATTTTCAGTTAAAGTTAATCACACTTGCAGTATTTTTTTTAGTGATAGGAATCGGTTAACTTGTGACAAGTTAACGGATGAGAGAGAGTAGTACACCTTTTCTCCCAGCTGCATGTATCAGGATATCTTTAACTCTCTAGTCCCGTCTATTTTCAGAAGGATTTAATTTTTTTATTCATTAAATTCTTTTCAAAATCACATTGGACTGAACTTTTCTTTCTTGGAACACAAGGTTCTTTAAGTCTTTTTGTGTTCCACTAAGTCGAAGTAATTGCGACAGAATACAAAACAACAACGGGTGTACGCGCACCCATGTTCACTTTTCCCAGACATCATTTAGTTTATTTCTAGATGCAGATAAATGAATAAGTGAATTTGATGCTAGATAAACGTATGGTTATGTAAAATCTTTCTGCAGTCTCGGTTAGCTTGTAAATTGTGGTTTATTTCAGCTGTTGGCAACCTGTTATTACTTTGTGCTTGAGCAATGGCAATTTGATTTTCCGAAACACTTTTGTGTTTTAATTACTTTACAGACTCTCTCTTTACCTATTTTACCGATGGGTCATTTGTTTGTCCGCTTTCGCGATAAGAACGAGTGTTGCAGTCAATACCGTTCAAAAACTGACAAACTGTATAACATCCACTATATTTTTTCATATCAATAAAATATGTATATATTCGCACGTGGCGACTCACCTTTCACTAAAACAGCTCTTTTGCCACAATATTTTTCAGAGGAAATTTAATGTTTTTTCAACTGCTTTTGTGAGTATCTTTATGGTCCCTGTAGGAAAATCACAAGTTAATAAATAATCGATGGTTAACAAGTAAAATTTAGCATCTATTTTGACAATTATTGTGTTTGATCATGAAATATTTATCCTACATATATTTAGTTTTAGGAAAAATCTTTTAGAGAAGCCGTGTTGCTTGAGTGCAAATTAAATATAAGCCCCTCAGTAAACAGGGACTTTTTTCCAATTTCAATAACTTTCGTATATGATTGAGAGGAGAAAGCGTAAATTTTAGAAAATGGTCAGCGATACAGTGTATCATTATTCCGTACATGTCCGATTTCTCTTTGTATCGTAGCAACATCGCAATCCCGATCACAGCGAAATTAGAAAGGCTTCTATTACGAAATATAAGAAAAGACGATTAACTTTTACTCACCCCTATGTTTAATTGTTTGCCACGAAAACACTGAATGCAAACAAAAAAGTGGCGACTCTCCTTTATGCCACAACGATCACTACTCAAAGTTCCCTAAACAAGATTGACAGAACAGGTTAAACGTGCCAAAGCTTGGGTGTTGAGCTTTAAGTACTGACGTGCTTTATAAGATAACCCTTGAAGGCTTAGGTTATGTTGCAGAAGAACGAAGATTTTCAGCGCGAGTTAACAATAACTTGATTCACATTTGCAAGACGGCCAATAGAGCAACAATCGGCCATTGAGCCTAGCAAAGGCTCAATGGCCGATTGTTGCTAAAATGTTGACGCCTGAAAAGCATAATCCATAAAGGATGAGACCCAACAGCTTTATGAAAAATTTTTTTAAGTGTTACGTAATCAGCAGGTGCTTTACTTTTTCCCTTATTCCTGAAAAATCTTAGTTTTTTGCAATTTTTTTTCAGTTTTTTTCCTGAATACATTCATTTCTTGCGTATTAATTATTTATATTGTTGCCGTAAAGACTTACCGAAAACAGACCCACAGAGTGAGATTCATGAATTTCTCTACACCTTTCCCTTATGTATCTGAGTGCAATTGGAAAAAATATCAACGGGCTACTGCCACTCTTACATAAAGCACTAAGTGTATGGGCGTTCCTGCAAAGGTGTTTAGACAAGTTTGAACAGCCTTCTGTGAATTTTTTTTTTTTTTTTTCATATTTACCGATTCACTCACAACTTAGGAGTTGATAATAAGTTGTAAGCGACAGGCAAGACAGCTGACAAAGACACACTACAATCTGTGTTTACATTTTACGGAGGAAAGGATAAGGCCTTACATAGAATTGAAATTATTTCAATGAGGTAGAATCGCGTCGAAAAATCTGTCGTACGGATATGATTTATCTGTGTACCGAGAAGAGGTGGTTCGTGTTTGACAAGAATATTTCAAGTAAATTCGAATGGGATGCTAAATTGCAAAAGATAGAGTGGCTTCATTCGCTCTAGACAAAGATAAAGGTGAATTTGCTTGAATTGCTAAGGCACTCAAATGGGCTGTGGGGAATCACGATACTTTAAAGATAACATGAAGCTCACTTCTTTGCACCGAATTTTAACAAAACAGCCAAATGAGCACAGTTGCGTACACTGTTACAAAACTAGTACCAGCTATGTTTTATTACTGTTCAAGTACTGAAAAGCAATATCGAACACATCGCAAGTCTTGGTGCACGTGTGTTTGTAAAACATGCCCGAAGTCACAAAATTTCTTTACGCGCTTAATTTATCTTAACCAGTAAAAAAAAGAGACAAATCAAACAGCAAAGGGAAGCGATCGAGGCGCAAAAAAAGGATTGTGACTGAATCACGCTATCTAAGACTCTTCTTCCTTCCCTAAACTCTTAGTTCGACCATCGCGCAAATAAACCTGGACGTAACGTACAAGATAAGATATTCAAACTGCAAAATAAAACCTAACATATGAATCAAACTAAGCACACAAATAAGATTGATTAAAATAACCTGAAAGAGTGCAAAAACTAAACTAAGCAAAAAACAAAAAAGCACGAGCAAATGCAATTATATTCTCCTGGAGCCCACAGTATGTAATTTGATGTGCACAGTACGTTTGCTGAACCGTAGGTGAATAACAGTCTCACAACGGAAACATTTAAGCCAATACATATTTTATAAAATTTCAAATGAGTTCGGCATCGCGTTAAAGTGCATATGATCCAGTCTTACTACGTGATCAAAGAAACCATCATCACTTAATTTTAGCAGTTTATAATGGTGTCTGGAGTCAATAATAACTGGCTTTCGTAGTTTGTTGATGTCCTCTTTTAAGAAAATTTTCCCAGCGAACTTTATGAATCTTTGCTGGGCTTTTATATGCTGCGTTGTTGAAACTGCGGTTGCGAATTTGAATTATAATGGTGTATTTTCAGTCAGGAATCAACAGAAACGATGATCCATTTAATTTTGCTAAATGCGCAAACAAAGCCGGTAGCACAGTACCTATAGTGACAATTCCTTATCGATGCGAAAATGATGTGCTACCGATGAAGACAAAGTGCATCAGTTTTGTCGGAAGAAAGTCGCTGTCAATTACGATCTAGAATGGGTGTTTGAAATGAAATTTGAAAAATTTTGTGTCAATTCTGTGATTTAGCGGATCGGGTTCGGGTTAGCGATGCAGAGGAGGCAACATTATCAAATTTATTATTAGATAACAAATGATTTCGCCTTGAGAAATCTTCTATAGGCGATATAGGTAATATTTCCCTACACTTTATATCAATTCCATTCATGATACGAAAATAAGGGGATTTTTTTTATAGGAATACATTATTGGAATAAATTTGAGAAACTTTCTACTCACAGTTTCTAGGACGAAATTGCCTTGTAATGATCACTTTCTTGTGGCTGTTTGATGGATGGGCTGACTTGCTTTAAATCTTGATAGAAAGCTGGGCTTTGAGCGGAATACTTTTTTTTAATTATCTTATCCATTCGTCTATTTAAATTTGCTATTGAATTTGTATTTATTTCTCACTTTTCAGTCAAGTTCATTTCCATACGTGGGTCTGTGAACAATAGGGTCTTAGCGCCACCTTTCACATTTGACGGGATTTCGGTAAATTAATTACGATATTGGATACGATAGTTGGGCTTATGGAGTCTCTTTTTGTGAAAAGGAAAAAAACTGGGAACTGCTATATTTATATTCAATTACGGAAGGTTTCCCAGTGACTTCTTTGTTTTGCAGTCTGGTTATGGTGGCACCGAGAATGAAGATCAGCACTGATTAGTGTGAAAAGTGAGCGGTTAATTTCGCGATAAAAGCAGCTGCTACAGCGTTATGTGATTGATGGGTGATTACAGAGGCCCTTTACAAGAAGAAGCGCTCGCTTCTTTCCTTTAATTTACGTAATAAAGATTGGCAGTTTGTAGTGAGGGTGCGGTGAAAGAAGCAGTTGGCAAGAGTTTCCAAAGCTGTTTGCAGTTTTGTAAATATTTATATAACACTCTTTCTTGGTAAAATGAACGCTCGGGGCAAAATACTTTATTCACTTTTGACTTCTATTGAAAAACTGGTGTGCGTTTTATTTTTGCATTTATCTCGTTGCAATTAAAAAAAGAAAATTATTGCGGACCAATCACAACGCGTTGTATTTATTGGGTTTGCTGTGAACAGCGGTACGGTGGCAGATCGCTTTATCCCTTGGATCTTTTTAGACTCATGAATTAAGATTTGAATACATGAATTTTGCGGGCTTTAAGGTGAAAAGTAACATTTTGGGACACGATAACGCTAAAAGATTTTTTGTCATTTTTATTGACTCAGAGTGATATTAGCTACGGCAGAATGGACTCTTATCATGCTGTTATCTCTCGGGAAAGTACTCGACTGACAAATCTGCATATTCATTTGAGGGTGAAATGTGTTGTAGAATCAAGAACTACAGGTCTGGAAACATTTTACGGTCGATAAGTTAGCCAAAGCGATGAGCTGTTTCATAACAAAATAACAACAATTAGGCTAGTAATACACCAAGTTTTTAAGTTCTACCACTCTAAGTGGAGAACAGGAAATTATCGGACCTTTGAACGTTGAATAAGCTCGCGAATAATTAGAACTATCCTCCGCAAATTCATAAACGACCTTGGAAATATTTACAAGAGTATGCTTTTTCGTGCAATAAGTGGATGGGGACTGCTTCCAGCCAAGAGTTATTCATTTTGTATTCGTTTACTTTAATGAGGGAGAGGGTTTGAAATTAGCACCGTTTATAAGGCTGTCACTTTCCTTAGTACCTTGAGCTAAAAAACCTCGCAAGGTTGTGATGTTCAGCTATAATTTCTCAAGGTTTTCCTGTTCTTTCCTGAATTGTCTCAAATTGTATCATAGTTATAGGAACTCGTGAATTATCTTTTAAAAGTGCTTTTCCTTGTATCATAGCGGTTTTTTGTAACATATCAAAAACTTATCTTTTCCTTGAAATCTTTGAGGTATCCTGTGAACGCAAGGTTCTTTCTTTCTTTAGTCTTCTTTCCCGTGAGTGAACTTTACTGCGGCTTTTTTGTTCTTTTTTCGGCGTAACGCATGGTTATTGCACCGTTCATTAATCAATCTATGAGTCAATTTGAGCATATTGCGTCACAGAATAACCATTACTCGTTGAGCAATGGTGCTTGGAAAACCTCATTAACTTCCAAATGTGCGGCTCTTGATAAATGGCTTCAATCCAGAATGTACAAGGCTTTTGGTGAAGTTTTCAGCAAACGGGATTAATTATGAATAGACTAGTTCGGATCACAATTGGTTATATTTCAAGAGTCGTAAATTGTGATCTAGCTTTAAAGCAAGTTAAGTCCTATAACCATAATAAGTTTACCGGAAAGGGCGCGTAAGTCGCCGGAAGGGGCGTGTTAATCATGCTTGTCTTAAGTTCCGCAATAGGAAGCATCTAATGACCTTTTAAAAGCCACGTAGGACTAGTATTTTTTCATGAATCCTAAACTTCCCTTTGTTCCCAGAAAAAAAAAAAAGTTTGTGTGTCTGTACGTGTGGAATGTTATTATTATATCTCAACATCGATACCTGTTCTCCCCGTTGTTTTGATTCTAAATTAGTGCCGCGTGGGCAATTCTGAACTCGTTTACCATAGTATTAATGATTTGGGACTTTAGCCAACGCAAAATTAAGCACATCTTCTTACAATTTTAAATTAATTAGCAGTTTCTCAGTCTATTAGGCTAGATATAATGTTATGTATCGGTGCACCGCCACATCTATAAAGTCTAGTTTCTTGATACGCTCGTCTCTGTGATCCCAGTTTAATAATTTTTGACAACGATTTTGCGTAGACAACTTAACTTTAACAGCACCTTCCATTTTCAAAATTTTTTGCTATTGAAGATCGAAAATTTTTGTTAACATGTTCAAATGCTCTCCCTCTGTGGGTGGTAATTAGATAAGGCAAACTCTGAGTCGTGGTTTTCAGTTGCGCCACTTTACCGGAAGGGGTGTGTGAGTCACCTCGGTCAAGTAAGTTCCGCATTAAACATTTGGATAAGATAACTACCGTGAATGAAAA